TCATCACCTAATCTTTTTGTTATCCTCATAACCTTACTCTTTCCTGTATTCACTTTTAATTTTCTTCTTTTGCACACCCTACCAAATTCATCCACCAATCTCTGCAACTTCTCTTCAGAATCTCCCAAGAGCACAGTGTCATCAGCAAAGAGGAACTGTGACAACTCCCACTTTATGTGTGATCCACGCCTTTTGCCAAGACCCTCGCATTTACTTCTCTTACAACCCCATCTATAAATATATTAAACAACCACGGTGACATCACACATCCTTGTCTAAGGCCTACTTTTACTGGGAAATAATTTCCCTCTTTCCTACATACTCTAACTTGAGCCTCACTATCCTCGTAAAAACTCTTCACTGCTTTCAGTAACCTACCTCCTACACCATACACCTGCAACATCTGCCACATTGCCTCCCTATCCACCCTGTCATACGCCTTTTCCAAATCCATAAATGCCACAAAGACCTCTTTAGCCTTATCTAAATACTGTTCACTTATATGCTTCACTGTAAACACCTGGGCCACACACCCCCTACCTTTCCTAAAGCCACCTTGTTCATCTGCTATCCTATTCTCTGTCTTACTCTTAATTCTTTCAATAATAACTCTACCATACACTTTACCAGGTATACTCAACAGACTTATCCCCCTATAATTTTTGCATTCTCTTTTGTCCCCTTTGCCTTTATACAAAGGAACTATGCATGCTCTATGCCAATCCCTAAGTACCTTACCCTCTTCCATACATTTATTAAATAATTGCACCAACCACTCCAAAACTATATCCCCACCTGCTTTTAACATTTCTATCTTTATCCCATCAATCCCGGCTGCCTTACCCCCTTTCATTTTACCTACTGCCTCACGAACTTCCCCCACACTCACAACTGGCTCTTCCTCACTCCTACAAGATGTTATTTCTCCTTGCCCTATACACGAAATCACAGCTTCCCTATCTTCATCAACATTTAACAATTCCTCAAAATATTCCCTCCATCTTCCCAATACCTCTAACTCTCCATTTAATAATTCTCCTCTTCTATTTTTAACTGACAAATCCATTTGTTCTCTAGGCTTCCTTAACTTGTTAATCTCACTCCAAAACTTTTTCTTATTTTCAACAAAATTTGTTGATAACATCTCACCCACTCTCATTTGCTCTCTTTTTACATTGCTTCACCACTCTCTTAACCTCTCTCTTTTTCTCCATATACTCTTCCCTCCTTGCGTTGGGTATCTTGGTAAGAAATTCCACCTTGGCCCAGGGATTCTTTGCTTCAGTGGACAACTTGATCTCTTCAGTATTCTGTGTAGTGATGAGTCTGTCAAGTCTCTTGAGGAACACAGTTCTTCTGGCCCTCAGTGCTGGGGAATTCAGAACAGAGAATCCATGATCTTGTAGAGTGGACATAGCAGTAGTGGTGAGCAGTTTCTCGGCCTCGGTGTCGTCAGTACAAATGACAATGAAGGCTTCTTTGAGTGATAAAATCACATTGCACTTAACCTGCAATCTGCCACTAACGACAGATGCAAGTGCTAGCTTAGTTGAGTCGTTGATTGTTCCACTCGCTGGTTAGATCTTTACTCTATTAGAGTAATACATCATGAGTAAGCAGTGTTCCCCTCCCCAACGGGGATCGTAGGGATGTCTAAAATATTCTCATGTGCTCACGGTAGAGGCGTCGTTGATTGGTCAACATGGTGACCAATCACAGAGGCGCTCAGGCCGCGGCTAGCTCGCCAGCCGGTTTTCAAATGTACCCATTCTTTATTCATTCATTTATTCATTCTTTATTCATTTATTTATTCAGAAGTGTTGCTGATATACCATTTTTTCTCATTTTTATATTATTTTATATAAGTTTTATGTTCTCATAATTACAATTTGTTGTAGTTCTTGTCATTTCATAACCAATCTTTGTTCTCACACTAATATTAGGTACTGAAATTGTACTCAAATTGTCACAAACACATTGACAGGTGGACATTTACACCTGCCTTGGTCATTTACTATTGTCTAGGAATATATACACAGTATTTATAGGTCCCAGCTATGTTCTGGATACACAGGAGTATAGAAGAAAAAGGAAGGAGGAGGAGGAAGAAGGAAGAAATTCCTTTGAAGCAATGTGTAAGACAAGTGTTCATGGGGCAATGAAAGGAAGGAAAAACTGAGCGATGTGCACTGAGCTAAAATCATGTGGTACGTGTCCAGATGCAGTAACCTGTGTGGGGTCTGATTGTGTACACAATCTCATTATCCCTCACACCTTATCTTGCTAAGACAATGGAATTACCTAATGTGTAATGGGAGGTCTCAGGCCTGCCTGCTGTGGCACTTCTTAATGGAAATGTTCGTCACAAGTGGAAATGAATTCCATTCCAATAAGCCTTAATGAAAATGGGTGCTCTTTTGTTGGAAATGGAAAATTAAATTTGAATCACAGAATATTGAAAACTTGAGCTATGATCATGCAGCTTAAGGTTCTCTGTTTTTATTCTTTTAGATAAATTATGTTGTGTATATTATAGACCAGTTTAAACTTCTTTAATTTTACTGTGGAACCTCAAATTTCAAACTTAATCTGTTCCAGGAGCTAGTTGTAAATTTGAAAAGTTTGAAAAGCGAAGCAGTATTTCCCATAAGAAATAATGGAAATACAATTAATCCGTTCCAGAAACCCAAAAATATTCACAAAAAAATACATTTTATAGATAGTATTACATTATAATTTTACATACACAAAACAAATATAGTGTACAATTATTAATAAATTTTAATAAACATACAAAATAACATTTTTACTTACCTTTATTGAAGATTAGTGATGGCATCTGGAAGATAGGGAGGAGGAGAGAGGGAGTTGGGGTTCGTGTTTGGAAGGGGAATCCCCCTCCATAAGGACTTTAGGTATCAAAACCCTCTCTGGGATTACTTCCCTTCTGTCTTTTAATGCCACTAGGACCACTCTCATACTTCTGTATTATTTCCTTCTTCACATCTGTGGTGTTTCTCACTTTCTTTACCATAGGGGTACCACTAGCAAGTTTCTTTGGGCCCATGGTAGCTTATTTCACAGTCCCACAAGCACTAAACACAATGAATTAATCGTAAAATGTTTGAATGAGACCACAGGTTAGTGTTCACTCAAGCATCAGCAAAGCCAGACTGGCTCACAGAACCTGCGTGGGGACGCGGACAGAGAGGGCTGGCAGACAGGTTCGGTACCTGGCGATTCAAAAAAAGGGGCGAGTTCGATAATGGTGACAGAGTTGGTTCGAAAAAAGCGGTTGATTTTCGAAGAGTTCGATAAGCGATACGTTCGAGATTTGAGGTTCCACTGTACTTAAAATCAGTGATATATATTTTTTCATTATGTTAAGATTGGTTTTCACAGATTTATGGCAAAAACAAATTTCTATGCCATCTACTAATATAGAACTATGAAGCAAGACTCAAGGCTATATAAGATGTGGCAGCTCTAAACCTGCCCAAGAACAAAAGCAACAAATGCACAATCAAGATCATATGATACACTCACTGCACAATATTATAAATTAAAATACTGTATAGTAAAATGTGACAAGAAAGAATTGTAGCCCTCCTTAAATTCCTTGTTCTTCCTGCTTCTTGTCTCAGAAATGTATGGTTATTGTTTGTGGCTTTACTGGGTCACAGTTTTGATAAGGAAATTTCCTTTTGCTTGTGATCAACTAATGTTTCCCATACCTATGGTATGGTGCATGTCTACATATGGGTGGGTGTTTACAAATGAGCCAAGTAAGGGCTCACAATCATGCCCAATTTCAGGCAAAAATGTTAGTTTCTTTAGACTTTATGGCATGAACAGCTCAATCTTTTTCATGATTTCTTGACTTTGAAAATAATTTCAGTAGCAGTATGTTAAAAATGTTGAATGTCTATGCATGAAATGTGAATTTATACTGTACCTGCTACACTCACCACACTGGCTGTGGTGTTCCTTCACCCAACCCTTCCACAAGTACCTGCTACCCTAATACCAGAAACCATTCAAAGATACAGTAGATGTAAATGGAAAACAACTCAAAATTTTATTTTAGTTATTCATTTCATGCAGTAATGTTACACTGTATTGTGAATTGTATGTGCATTAACTGTGAATACCTCCCTCACTTGTACTTGGGTAGTCTGTGGTTACCTCCCTCACTTGTACCTGGGTAGTCTGTGGATACCTCCCTCACTGTACCTGGGTAGTCTGTGGATACCTCACTTGTACTTGGTAGCCTGTGGATACCTCCCTCACTTGTACCTACATAGTCTGTGGATACCTCCCTCACTTGTACATGGGTAGTCTGTGGATACCTCCCTCACTTGTACCTGTCTAGTCTGTGGATACCTCACTTGCTTGCACCTGGATGAACTCTGGATACCTCCCTCACTTGTACTTGGACAAACTCTGGATACCTCCCTCACTTGTACCTGGACAAACTCTGGATACCTCCCTCACTTGTACCTGGACAAACTCTGGATACCTCCCTCACTTGTACCTGGACAAACTCTGGATACCTCCCTCACTTGTACCTGGACAAACTCTGGATACCTCCCTCACTTGCACCTGGACAAACTCTGGATACCTCCCTCACTTGCACCTGGACAAACTCTGGATACCTCCCCCACTTGTACCTGGATAAACAATGGATACCTCCCTCACTTGTACTTGGATAAACTATGGATACCTCCCTCAACTGATATAATGCTGTTAACACTCATTTTGTTTTCATTTACTGTACTTTACATTTTATTTTTATAAAATTAGAATATTATTGTTGGATTTACATGATGTCTTGCAAACAGTAGTGATGAAGACAGACATTACAGATTAAGCTTTTACTGAAGAAGACGTTTGACTCTGTGTACAGCTTTAACAAGTCATGAAGCTTGCTGAACAATGTCTATCATTTCTTCATCTTTGTGGATTTCATTATTGATTACTATAATGTAACAATCTTTCAGGTTATCACTCCGGACACTTGGAAAGATGGTGCTCGCAACACCACTGAGAGTGGAGGACGAAAGATAAATGAGAACAAACTTCTCACTAGCAAAAAGAATCGTTTCAACCCATATACAGTAAGTACTATAGTAGGAGTAATCACCATCTTATGGTTTTATAAGTATTAGTGTAATAATCCATATTACTACTGCTATATACATATATAATTTCTACCAGTTTGTACCAAATTTTAGTACAGAAGAATCTCAGTATAACAAGCCTTGAAATAGTGGATTTTTAGAGTAATAGACAAAATGTGTTGGGTAGAATGTGCTTCTAACTCCTTTATTTTTAATATTTATTGCAATATACAGTGGAACCTCGGTTTTCGTCATTAATTCATTCCAGAAAGTCTGACGAAAACTGAATTTGACACAACCTGAAGCAATATTTCCCTTAAGAAATAATGTAAATGCAATTAATTCGTTCCAGACACCCAAAAGTATTAACAAAAAATACATTTTATAGAGAATAACTACAGTAGGGCCCCCTTTATGGAGTTTTGCCTTACGGTGTTCCGCTAATACGGCGATTTCAAATTATGACCAAAACTTTCTATACGGCAAGTGGTCTTTCAAATGCAGCATGCGCCACCCGGTTTGTTTACATTCTCTGCGAGCACATCTCTCTATTATATAATAATAATCACTCTTGGGCACATTAAATGTCTTATTTTACGTTAATGTAGACATTTTCATTAATCCGTCTATGATATTTTCTTCAAAATTATATAAGAATCATATTACATAGTACAGTGGACCCCCGCATAACGATTACCTCCGAATGTGACCAATTATGTGAGTGTATTTATGTAAGTGCGTTTGTACGTGTATGTTTGGGGGTCTGAAATGGACTAATCTACTTCACAATATTTCTTATGGGAACAAATTCGGTCAGTACTGGCACCTGAACATACTTCTGGAGTGAAAAAATATCGTTAACCGGGGGTCCACTGTATATAAACATTTTACGTTGATATACTATGGAGGTGTGGTAGCCGGGCAGAGGGAAAACATTACGTCACTCCCTTAATACATAATGCCTTTGTTTACAATTCTCGGCATGAATTATTCATTACTTCTCCCTTTGTTTATGATGGCATCTAAAGGTAGTTGATGGAAGCGATTAAACTCAGTGAACATGGTATGTCGATGGTAATAATATGGCTCCGGGCCACATTAAATTCATGCAGCTATGTAGGTAGGTGTAGGTATGTAGCCAAGGCGGATTACATACCTACATTATTATTATAACTGATAATTATACTTTTGTGTACCTGTACCTAAGTAAACTTACACACTGTGCTGGCATGCAGGTAGTCATTAAAATTACTAAGAGTGTCTTATTAGTCTTGAAGATGCCATATTAATAATGATAATAATAATAACAATAATAATCACTCTGAGGCACATTAAACATCATATAAAACGTTAATGTAGACATTTTGCTTAACCCGTAAACGGTCCAAACGTACATATACGTTTTCTCAACATTTGAAAGTATGTAAAAAAAGTAGATCTTCTTTTTGTTTTTTACATTTGAAAATGTGTAAAAAACCTTCATCTACTTTTTTTTTTGTTATATTTGAAAATATGTAAAAAAAACGTAGATCTACTTTTGTAGCACTACACATGTGAACGTAGATCTGCTTGGACCGTTTACGGGTTAATCCATCTAAATACACCCCACAATAGAATAAATTAATATAAATATGAGATGTGGTACCCAGGTAACTTGCAGGACTTGTGGTAGCCAGGCAAATTGTAGGACTTGTGGTAGCCAGGCAAATTGTAGTCCAACATCAGAGAAAATGTATACAGTATAATATTACTGGGGGGTAGCTAGAAAATTATTCCTTTCGTATGCCTTCACTCAGGGTGTCATTTCTTCTAAAAATGGTGTTATATTTGAATGGGAGTGTTTTTCTTTATTTATTGTATCAACGTGGAGACAACTTGTACACAATGTAAAGTGACGAAAACCAGACGCGTTCGCCTGGTTTGTTTAAATTTAGTGTGGGTGGGGTGGGGTGTTGAGGGTTGCCCTTCCTGACTACCCATACTTCCCACCATGACTTCCTACAAATAAAACTCACCTCTCACCCTACATTAAAACTACAAATATTTTAAGGTGATTAATGAGTGTACTGTATATGCATTTTATTGCTCTAGGGAGCGTAATGTCGTAATAGGTGGGAGTGGCCAGGCAGGATGCCATACCTCCCACACGACTTTCTACAAATAAATACTTTTCACCTCTCACCTACTAGACTTAAACACTTAAACCTTTTCTTGCCACTTTCAGCAACACTTGTATGCCTACTGGGTGCCACGATTGCTTAGCAGATACAAGATATGGCAATAAAAGACCTAAACTCAATCCACAACATAATAATAAACACAGCTACCTCCTAGCTGTGTTGGGGAAGTATCTCGCGGGCAATGCTCCAAATTTTTTCCCCTCTTGCAAACCCAACTATGTTAACTTAATTTTACGAAGTGTTGTATAAAATTGTGCTGCAATTTTTCAGTAGTGAAGTAACCAAAATCTTCCCTGAAAACACACAGTTAATGCTGATGACAGCAAGACCACTGAGGCTGCCTTGTGTCATGGTTAGCCTCAGATAAGTCTTGATGAGCTTGTGCTTGGGAAAGCTCCTCTCTGCTTGAGTTGCTGTCACTGGATGGGTGACAGTAACCCTGAGTGTGACCCAGAAGTTAGGTAAGATCTTTGTGAGCTCCTTTCATGTATAAAAGTCAGCAGCTCAGGAGCTCTAATGCTTGTAAATGGCATTTCATGCAAATTTATCAACTCTTGTGCAAGCCTCTCATCATCTAGATCAGTTTATCATCCTAAGCTGAAATTGATTAAGCCACAAAGCCTGTTCTGTAAATTCTGAAGGCTGTTTCAGTGTTCCATAGGAAATTGACAGTACAGTACACCCACCTGTGCTGAGGAAGATTGATAGTACAGTACATCCACATGTGCTGAGGGAGATTGACAATACATCTACCAGTGCTGAGGGATATTGCATCAGTTTGCTGACTTGCTAGATGCAGCTTAGGATGTTATACCACACCACACTGCAGAACAAGAATCAATGTCATCCTTCCTACCAGCTGGTCCCCTAAGCAGCCATCAACATCTCTTAAACCCAGGAATACCACTGCATATGTGTACTTAGTTGATAAAATGATTTTAATTTATTTTATTGAATATTTTACCCTGTGAAAAATTAATAATTGCTGTATTGACTTCCTCTCCTTTTTCAGACTAAATTTGTGGAATGCCGAATATGCCGAACAAAGGTTCACCAGGCCGGTTCAAACTTCTGTCAGGGTTGTGCTTATAAGAAGGGCATCTGTGCTATGTGCGGCAAAAAAATAATCGACACCAAGAGTTACTGTCAATCATCAGCTTAAAATGTTCAGTGAATGCTTAAGTGTGTGTCTGAAGTGAATGAACTTAGATTCATATCAGTAGTTTCAGAATATAAATATAAATAAAGCAACTTTGATAGATCAATGAATATAGTGCTAATTTTTATTGCTGCCTATAATCAATACAGAAATGTTACATATCACCAGGTGTTGTAAATATTAAATCAGCAGCACCAGAGTGCTTGGGTAATGTCGGTTGTGTTGAATCAGCCTTACATAACACAAATTTTAAACTGATGAATTTTTCATCATCCAGCAATTCAAAATTCATCAGTATTTTGGTACTTTTGTTAAGAAAACCCAGAAACCTGATTAATGATCTAGTTGTTGCCAGATGTGATGTTTTTTCATGAGAGATTCTCTATAACATACATAACTCAATACTGACATCAAGTAACATCAGTCCCAGCACTGAACTTGAAAAAATTTACTCAAGACATTTGAGATACATATAACATCTGTTAGCAGCTCTATAATCAGCTCTGTTTAGCTCTAATGATTCAGTAACTAGTTATAGGTAGAGGCAGACATCATACATTCTGTGTGATTAACATAATTTTGGTAAATTAAGATCGTTGTGTCAGGCCTACCGCAGCCAGCCACTGCCATCACACGACTATCTTTTCAAATTTAGATTTTTTTATTTCTTTTATGCAGTACAGTGGAACCTCAAAAATCGAACTTAATCTGTTCCAGGAGCTAGTTCTAAATTCGAAAAGTCTGAAATTCGAAGCAATATTTCCCATAAGAAATAAAGGAAATACAATTAAACCGTTCCAGAAACCCAAAAATATTCACACAAAAAATACATTTTATAGAGATTAATTACAGTTTTACATACAATAAATACTATAGTTTTTAATTATGTAGAGTAATACATATAAAATAACATTTTTACTTTACTGAAGATTGGTGATGGCATCTGGAAGATAGGGAGGAGGAGAGAGAGAGTTAGGGTTAGTGTTTGGAAGGAGAATCCCCCTCCATGAGGACTTCAGGTAAAGCCCTCTCTGGGGTTACTTCCTTTCTCTGTCTTTTAATGCCACTAGGACCAGCTTGAGAGTCACTGGACCCCTGTCTCACACAATAACTGTCCACAGTCCTCTGTTTCTGGCACCTCTTTAACATTTCCCTAAAATGGGATATGGTTCTGTTGCTGAACTTGTTGCAAAGATGGCTTGTTTCAGCTTGCTCAGGGTGGTACTTCTGCACAAACATTTGGACATCATTCCACTTGGCACAAATCTCCTTAATCTTTGAAGAAGGCACCTCATCCACTCCCTATATTAACACCTTTCGCAACATCAGCTTCCTTGATTTGTTCTTTCTTTGACAGGATAGAACTGATGGTCGACATGTTTTTCCCATACATCCTGGCAAGCTCAACAAGTCTCACACCACTCATACTTCTGTATTATTTCCTTCTTCACATCTATGGTGTTTCTCACTTTCTTTACCACAGGGGTACCACTAGCAAGTTTCTTTGGGCCCATGGCAGCTTATTTCACAGTCCCACAAGCACTAAACACAACGAAATAATCGTAAAATGCATGAATGAGAGTGCAGGTTAGTGTTCACTCAAGCATAAACAAAGCTAGACTGCTCACGGCGCCTGCACGGGGACGCAGATGGAGCGGGCCGGCAGACAGGTCCCATACCCGGCGGTCCAAAAATAGGGCCGCGTTTGATAATAGGGACACAGTTTGTCCGAAAAAATGGTCCTATTTTCGAAACGTTCGATATGTGACACGTTTGATTTTTGAGGTTCCACTATATATAGATAATATAGTTTACATTTAATAAAATATTGTTAGGCACAAAAGAAAGCCACTAACATACAGTGTATTTTGGGTAAACTAATCCTCATGCTTAACACTATTACAGTACTACCTTCTGTATCACACTCTCCAACCCTTAGAAGTGTACTGTAGAATTACAGTTATTATTATAGAATTACAGTTATTATAGAACTACAGCTATTACAGAATTACAATTATAGAATTACAGTAAATATTATAGAATTAGTTATTATTACAGAATTACAGTATTGTTATAGAATTAGTTATTATTATAGAATTACAGTGTAATGTTTGCAATAGTCACAAACACATGTTGCCAAGCAAATAAATGATTTGTAAACAGGCTTGTTGAAATATGCAGGAAGTGCAAAGTAAATATTTTTTTGAAAATTGTGTTTCATTGGTCTCTCTTGGGTAAAAAAAAAAAATTATTTTATTAAAATGCATTCCATTATTTTTCACTTTTTTCATTATTAAAAATGACCATAAATTTACTATACATCATGCGAGAGGTTTTCCAGAATAATCTTTAGGCAGATATACATTTTCTACTGTTACCAAAATTACATGGACAGTATAAGACACAGGATGGTTTCTGGGTCCTGGTCTCAGGCTGGGCCATGGGGGAGTTGACCCCCGAAGCCCTCTTCAGGTTTCCAGGTATTATATGACAGAAAATGCTTTAATCCTCAATTAATCCTTTTAGTTTCAGTTATGTAGATCTACATTAGTGGGATCAGTATCACTGGCATAGATCTTCGTATAATTTATAATGCCCTCAAATTTGCTGTGAGCAGCAAATTTTGGTCTGGGCATGAGGAAATGGGTTCTGTACAGTTCGGGTGCATAGTATTAAGGAAATCCTGCCCCACAGTTCATGACAGGAACAGCTTACCTCTGAACTTGTGTTCTGGGTTAAAATAACACTTATGGGGTGTTCTAGGGTGGTTTTCATGGTTTAATTGGTTGTTTTTCGGTACCATTAGATACACTGGAAGACATACTTGTAAAGTAGAGACGATTTTGGCCAGTTTCATAATGGAAGTGGCCTGAAAAAGCCTCAAAATCACAAAATTGGTCAATTTTTGCAGGAAATTCCTAACAAAGGTAAGGAGCTTTCCATCCATGCCCCAGTTTGTTTTATAGGTTTTTATGAGGTCTGCTTCAATTATTGAGATGGCCTGAACCATTACTAAGTATTTTTGAAATGTTGATTTTTTTTGGTGTGAGTGATGACTGATTTAAAATGGAGGAAAATGTTATGTAGGAAAGGCCTTGGAATATGATTAATGAACAGATGGAAGGTTGCTTTAATGGCTGAAATGCCAAGTGTTTGGGACTGTTTTTCAGTTGGAATGTTTTGAAAATAATGGAAAACTGGCCAAATTATCACAGTTCATTGTTTTATGTGGTAGCGCTGATGGTGGAATAGGCAGTTCTTGTGATCAGTGGGTAGTATGTAAGCCATGCTAACAAAATACCTAAAAAGTATACCTGGACAGGGTTTCAGGGATCAACACCCCCCACGGCCCGATCTGTGAAAAGATCAGTGTCTGATCAGTCAGGCTGTTATTGCTAGCTGCACACAAACCGGCATACGAACCACAGCCCAGTTGGTTAGGAACTGACGTTAGGTGCCTGCCCAGCTTCCTCTTGAAAACAGCCAGGCATCTATTGGTAATCCCCATTATCCATGCTGGGAGGCTGTTGAACAGTCTTGGGCCCCTGACATTTTTTTGTGTTGTCTCTTAGCATATTCATGGTGCCCCTGCTTTTCATTGAGGGGATATTGCAACCCTGCCCAGTCTTTTGCTTTCCTAGGGAATGATTTCCATGTTCAAATTTGGGACTAGTCCCTCTAGTGTTGAGAAATGGTTTACCAACTAAGGTTAAAGATTAAATAATATATAGGGGGTACTTAGCTGGATAAGACACTATTGCCCACACAGCCGCCCCTGCAGGTGAGGTCTTAAGAAGCTGTCGTATCCACTTTGCAACAGGCTGTAATAGAGCATATTATGTTAATAATTTACCCCTAAGGGGTGTTATGTCAGCACATTTCATTCACTGATTGCTGATGAAACTTACGTGTGTGGAATCAAAAGTCCGCACCTCACTGCCGACTATAGGTTGATTACAAACTCCTTGTGACACAAGAACTGGGCAGCCCTCCGTACTACAAGAAATTCGTAACCTACCTTGCTCTTGTAGTGTGAGCTATGGTGTTCTTTACACCCTCGACAGGTATCGGTGACTCGATAGAAGCTGAAATATCCTTGGATGTACACATCTTCCATAGTCTAGGAATACGCACACTGGTACACTATGTTCCACAAGGTTTGTCTTTATTGTTCACAATCTTATCACTAAAGAAGCTGATCACACTTCTCTGTAAGCGTTTATCGTGTTTTGTGAGACACTTTGTTCACACTAACGCACGGATCAGTGTTCTTTGTTGCTTATCCTGGCGTCAGTGTGACTCCCAGTAGGGTGAAAAGTAATCTGACCTCACAGCCTCCTATGCTGCTGCAATGCCCCTAGAACATAAAAGGAAAAGCTGACCTAGTACTTTTTGCTTCCTTGCCAAACTTTCTCCACGAAGCAAAGCAGAATGCTTGATTCTTGCTGTCTTGAGCATAGACAACAATGTCCACTATCTTTACCATGGTAATAAAGTGGGAGCAGGATTTTCCTTAATTATCCTGCTAAGGTAAGAGATGGACTGTCTCTTATTAAACTACACTTTGCAACACTGGACTCTTGCAAGGAGCGGCGGTCGCTTGACCATGTCACATACTCGTTTTGCATCTGGGATCAATTACTTGCTGTAGCAGTAAACAAGATGCTTGCCCCTTCTGAGAGGGCTGGGCCCCTTAGGGCTGAAGGGGGCTAATACCCCCCTCCTGGAGAAAATTTCTCCACATCTAGGATTTTCCAAGTGTATATTATCATGTATATTTCTCGCTTGCATTCCAGGAAATACAAATCAAAGGACTTCTGTTCCCAGTAGTTTAGGTGCTATATTGTAGTTATGCATGCCATGAATGATCTCTGTACATTCTCCAGATCTGCAATTTCACCAGCCTTGAAAGGAGCCGTCAGTGCACAGCAATATTCCAACCTAGAGAGAACAAGCGATTTGAAGAGAACCATTATGGGCTTGGCATCCCTAATTTTGAAGGTTATTATCCATCCTCTCATTTTCTTAGCAGATGTGATTAAAACATTGTTGTGATCTTTGAAAGTGAGATCCTCTAACATTATCACTCCCAGGTCTTTCACACTACTTTTTCGCTTTATTGTGTTTTAATTTCCTTGAGTAGGGTTTTAATTTCCTTGAGTTTTCCATATTGGAGTGCAACTAACTCCTGGAGTTCAATCCCACCAAGTGCAAAGTCATGAAGATTGAGGGAAGGGCAAAGAAGACTGCAAATGGAGTGCAGTCTAGGGGCAAGAGACTACAAACCTCACTCAAGGAAAAGGATCTTGGAGCGAGTATAACACCGGGCACATCTCCTGAGGCGCACATCAACTGAATAACTGCTGCAGAATACGGGCACCTAGCAAACCTAAGAATAGCATTCTGACATCTCAATAAGGAATCGTTCAGGACCCTGTATGCCATGTACGTAAGGACTATATTGGAGTATACAGCACCAGTTTGGAACCCACACCTAGCCAAGCACATGAGAAAATTAGAGTGTGTGCAAAGGTTATGGGAAATCGACCTGATGACACCTGTAGGACATGAGAGATAGGGGGAATAAGATAACATAAAATTCTGAGAGGAATCGAAAAGGTGGACAGAGACAGGATGTTCCAGAGATGGGACACAACAACAAGGGGTCACAGTTGGAAGATGAAGACTCAGATGAACCACAGGCATGTTAGGAAGTATTTCTTCAGTCACAGAGTTGTCAGGAAGTGGAATAGTCTCAGAAGCGATGCAGTGGAGGCAAGATTCATACATAGCTTAAAGAGGCATGATTAAGCTCATGGAGCAGGAAGGGTGACCCAGTAGCGACCAGTGAAGAGGCGGGGCCAGGAGCTGTGACTTGACCCCTGCAACCACAAACAGGTAAGTACACACACACACACACACACACATGAGCACACAAACACACATCCCCAGACTGAGAGTCGAAAACCAAATAGTTTTTTTATGAGACAGAATTTGGTAGACTCGAACCTATCTGATGTTATCATGACGCCAAATGACTTCAAAAAGGTGATAAATGACATGCCCATGCACTCTGCCCCAAGCCCAGACTCGTGAAACTCCGTGTTCATCAACCCATTTGACCATAAACAGAAATATCAATCTCAATCTTAAAATAATGAATCCTAACTAGTCATAAGTTGGCCTGTGATACTCCAATACTGAAACTATGTATTGTGCCAAAACAAAAGCATTCACATTGCTAAACTCACAAACTAGTATTTAGTCACTTAGCCATAATACCAACTTACCTCATAATTTGTAATATTTTAAATTTAAGAATTAATCTAAGTCTGCCCGAAATGCCTAGCCATGCTAGGTGTTCTAGTGGTACCCTCTGTAATTATTATTTTACTACATGTAAACCACACAATAACCAAATTCTGTAAACTCAGCATTGTAATCCTTATAGAGAATAAACTTTGAATTTGAATTTGAATTGAAGAACTGAATTAAGCTCCTATCATGTTTTAACACCCTATGGATGGGGCGCATGGATGCAGATATGGAAAATTTTATAGGGGGTTACTGTATGTACCTCAACATTACATGCATACGAGTAATCTCATTGGGAGACAACAACCATATTGTTTACCGTAGTCACCCCGTGTAGACATGTGAGAAAACTTAACCACCCCTGGTCACTGCAGGTGGTCCCTTCGACCTCACAATCTTATCCATATCTATCCGAGACCAGTATAAATTGGATAGCACCCACAAGTACGGCGCTACTAATTAATTGTGGACTGGTCACAGACCGGGCCGCGGGGGCGTTGACCCCCGAAACTCTCTCCAGGTAAACTCCAGGTAAACTGAATGAAGGGGGGGGGTAGGTTACACATGTATATATCCATCACCTGGAGAGAGTTCCGGGGGTCAACGCCCCCGTGGCCCGGTCTGTGACCAGGCCTCCTGGTGGATCAGAGCCTGATCAACCAGGCTGTTGCTGCTGGCTGCACGCAAACCAACGTACAAGCCACAGCCCGGCTGATCCGGAACTGACTTTAGGTGCTTGTCCAGTGCCAGCTTGAAGACTGCCAGGGGTCTGTTGGTAATCCCCCTTATGTGTGCTGGGAGGCAGTTGAACAGTCTCGGGCCCCTGACACTTATTGTATGGTCTCTTAACGTGCTAGTGACACCCCTGCTTTTCACTGGGGGGATGGTGCATCGTCTGCCAAGTCTTTTGCTTTCGTAGTGAGTGATTTTCGTGTGCAAGTTCGGTACTAGTCCCTCTAGGATTTTCCAGGTGTATATAATCATGTATCTCTCCCTCCTGCGTTCCAGGGAATACATCAAGGAAAAACACTTGTATATAATCTCACCACTTACCAGATATTCTCTGGTGGCCACTTGATGTAGATGGATCACCCACAACCTATCCAATTACAACATACCTAACTGGCCAGTATCAGTCTGCTATAACTAGAAGGGTTACATAACTGTGGGTGATTGATGCTCCTTATTTCCTCCATTTACCATCTCATTTCGATGTCCTGCTACACCGACATGGTTCTTATTCCAACAGGACGAGGTATCCGTTGGTTTGTCCCGGTTTAGAAGTCGTGACTCCATAAAAACTTCACTATCCTCGGGACAGGAACCACGAGGTCTACACGTGTTCACTCGGAGCAGGGCGACTTATTTCACTTCACGCTTTCTCTTAACTTAGTGTTATTATCACTGATTACATTACAATTCACAAGACGATTTAATGTCTCATAATTATTGTACACATTAGAGGTCACTCCATTAAGATCTGAGACCGATGAGTGATGATTAAATCACGGGTATTTTCCCCTGGACACACTCCATGGCGGCGCACCAGTCACCACCGGTCCTACCATTATTCACTAATTTTACCACTTTTTACAGCAGTCCCGTAAATCACGTTCCCTCACTCTTCACCAGGGACAGTTACGACACTTCCTATTATGAAGTGAGGCCTGTATTAATCCTTAGGCTGCCGTGAACGCCAATTACCTGGTCCCACGTTTTCACAGCCTCTTAACTCCATTCCAAACACTCCCGCTCCCTGACGCCCCGTCTCGACCTCTCCCTGCCCATCAGCGCAGGCGCAGAGCTTCCCTGTTGGTTCTATTCCATTTTCAAATACATTTTTGACCAATGTCGACACATTAAACACCTATTAGGCATTATAGCTTCGGAAGATTAAAATATTTTCCACAACAACAGTTGTCCCACAGCTGCTTAAAACAACAGACATAGCCCCACTCCACATGGGTTTAGAGCAAGTCACTCTTGCTTGTCCCAACTATTGGATCACTATGAGACGGTGCTGTTGAGGATAAATAAAATACAGATGTAGTATACACAGACTTTGCAAAAGCTTTCGACAAGTCTGACCATGGTGTAAGTTTAGTTAGTTTAATATGTTTATTATGCACCCCATACCCATCCTGTGGGCGGTAGTCAAAAGATTACAGAGGTACATAATTGGTCCAGGGACTGGACTCCAAAGTTTTGATAGCTGAGCAAGTTACAGAGGTAATGAACTCACAGTTTACAAAGGTAATGAACTCACAATTTACAAAGGTAATGAACTCACAATTTACAAAGGTAATGAACTCCAGGTAGGTCTGGTCACAATCATGACAAGTTACAAAGGTATTTACAGATTACAGAGGTACGTAATGGGTCCAGGGACTGGGCCCCCAAAGTTTTGATAGCTGAACTAGGTACAAAGGTAATGAATTCTGTAGAATGGTTACTTACGTTTATACATGGCTACAATCATGAACAAATTATAGAGTAATGAGCAATTCACACTTCCACACCCGGTCACAACTGTAATGAGTTATTGGTGCAAATATTGATTGTTGAGTCACACACACACCACACAAACACACACATACACACACACACACACACACACACACACACACACACACACACACACACACACACACACACACACACACACACACACACACTTTAGTTTAATATCTTTATTATGCACCCCATGGTGTAATAGCGCACAAAATGCGTGATAAAGGAATAACAGGAAAAGTTGGTAGATGGATCTATTGTATTCGAGTGGTGGCTTACTAATGTTTGTTAAGAGGAAGGTTGGGTAGTAGTCAGTAGTGCTGTCTGTGATTATCCCTGATTTAAGAGAGGCTAGTATATTGGTCCACATGTGGTCTATTATGGTTGCACTTGTCTCAGTCAGCCTGGTTGGTTTAGTTATTGTTGGTATGAGAAGTGTGTTGTTCATATTGTTGATGAAATCAGTTACAGTCTGATCATCTGGTAGGCCAAGGTTGATATTGAAGTCTCCAGCTAAGAGAAGGTGGTGCTTGTTCATTTGTCTGTTTGTTATTAGTGCCTTTAGATTCTCACTGAAGTTTGGGATGTTTGTGTGGGGTATCCGGTAAATGGCACCGATTGTTATAGGCGTCTTGAGTTTTTTTTACAGTAAAATTAGCAAAAATGTATTCCCCATATTCATCACTAAAGCAATTGGTGCTATTACAAGATAGTTGGTTAGAGTAATAGATTAAGTACCACCCTCAACTTGGTATGGTCTGCAGTTGTGGATTGCTGTGTATCCTGGTAGTGGGTAGATATCTATTGTGTCCTGCTTAAGCCAGGTCTCAGTAAGAATAATGCAGGAGAAGGGTGTCTTTAGTGACTCAAGGAGTGCCAGGAGGTCATCATAGTGTTTGCTTAAGGACCTGATGTTGTAGTTAAGAACTGATAGACTTTGAGCAGTGTTCAGGATAGTACTGGCTTGTGATGCTGTGTAATAAAGGCCGTACTTTCCAATAAGTTTTGATTGTGTGTTAGATTATGGAGGTTCAGATCGGGGTCAACGTGATCATTCATCTTTTAGGTTTAAATAGTGGTTGTTTATATCCTGTATTATGTGGTGAGTTCTAATACTGATTTCTGTAGTGGTGGGAGGTTTGGATAAGTTTACCGCTAAAGCACTTTGGTAATATATAGTCACTAATAAACATAATGAAGTTGATATTGTCTATGTGTTGTGCTAGAATGAGCTAAAGTACAACTAGGTATAAACTTATATAAATACAAATTAAAATGGTACTTGCAATTGCACTAGGGTCTGATAAGATCAAGCGTATAACTAGATTTAAATTGACAAAATAAAATTCACAAATTAAAGTACCAAAAGAATAATAAGTAAAAAATAACAATGGCAATAACTTGGTTATAATATGATAGTAAGATGGTAGACAGGTACACAGGTACAAAGGATAATGTAAAGGTTGGAGTTGAATATACAAACTTGAAAATTTGGCAACAAAATGTTATGAAAAGTATAAAATAATGATTAATGTACAAAAGTCATGGTCAACTATATCAAAAGCTTTACGTAAGTCAATGAAGATCCCCAGTGGGACTTCTTTCTTCTCTATTGAAGTGTTCTAGCATGTGTATAATAACATCATTATTATTTTTATTACGCCTGAACCCAAATTGACAGGGGTTGAGTATAGCCCTTGTGGCTTAGCGCTTCTTTTTGATTATAATAATAATGAGTATGTTGTGGGAGATGAGGTAGGAATAGATTGATGTTGTAGGGGCTGGGGTTTGGGGTGGTGGAGGGACTGGTAGTTGGGGTGGTGGAGGGACTGGTAGTTGGGGTGGTGGAGGGACTGGTTGTTGGGGTGAAGGAGTGGTTGGGGAATGAGGTGGTGGAGGGGCTGGGGCTGGCTGGTAGTGGGTAATCAGTAGAGGGTGAAGAGTGGTGGAGGAAGGGAGGTGGGTGTATGATGCAGCACAGTGTGTGGCTACCACACTAACACTGCAGTACCAGCAGCAGGCACCATGACCCTGGCACTACTACATCTTGTGGCCCTGGCTGGCCTCACCACCAGGGTAAGTAATACCACCACTGAGGTACACTAACACTGGTACAAGCTTATGGTACCACCTACAGTCTGTACCACACATCTACGTATACAACCCATTGTACCACACACACTGCAAGTCCCTAATCCCTGCCAGGGGATCCAGATCCAAGGAATTGGAGCCTTATTTCCTTGGGTCGAACTTGATTTACATCCCATTCCTCAGGTGCTGGATGACATCTAAGGGTTTAGCACTTCTCCATAAGTAAGTTTATTTAGGTACAGGTACACTTAAATAGTTACACAAATTATCATACATAACATGTGTAAATTATCATACATAGTAACGTGTGTAAATTATCATACATAGTAACATGTGTAAATTATCATACATAGTAACATGTGTAAATTATCATACATAGTAACATGTGTAAATTATCATACATAGTAACATGTGTAAATTATCATACACAGTAACATGTGTAAATTATCATACACAGTAACATGTGTAAATTATCATACACAGTAACATGTGTAAATTATCATACACAGTAACATGTGTAAATTATCATACACAGTAACATGTGTAAATTATCATACACAGTAACATGTGTAAATTACCTAGGATAACCCAGGAAACTCATTGACTATTTCCATTGAGGTCTTTTCTTCAGGGACTGCATCCATGTGGTCACCCATCCAGTTACTGACCCAGGGAGACGTAATAATAATAATTTAGTATGATAACGTGGTTGTACAAAGAATGACATTTGGTGTACATGTAAAAAACCGCTATATATGCATAACATTTCGGGCAAACTTAAGACTAATTTAACATTAAGATGGCAATTACAAGGAGTTGTGAATTTAGGAGTTTACATTGAATATAAGATAATTGAATATCATCCACAGGAGGTATTGTATAGACTAACAGTCTGGTGTGTGTAGAGTGAGTGTGTGTAGAGTGAGTGTGTGTAGAGTGAGTGTGTGTAGAGTGAGTGTGTGTAGAGTGAGTGTGTGTAGAGTGAGTGTGTGTAGAGTGATGTGTGTAGAGTGAGTGTGTGTAGAGTGAGTGTGTGTAGAGTGAGTGTGTGTAGAGTGAGTGTGTGTAGAGTGAGTGTGTGTAGAGTGAGTGTGTGTAGAGTGAGTGTGTGTAGAGTGAGTGTGTGTAGAGTGAGTGTGTGTAGAGTGAGTGTGTGTAGAGTGAGTGTGTGTAGAGTGAGTGTGTGTAGAGTGAGTGTGTGTAGAGTGAGTGTGTGTAGAGTGAGTGTGTGTAGAGTGTGTGTGTGTAGAGTGTGTGTGTGTAGAGTGTGTGTAGAGTGAGTGTGTGTAGAGTGAGTGTGTGTAGAGTGAGTGCGTGTAGAGTGAGTGCGTGTAGAGTGAGTGCGTGTAGAGCGAGTGCGTGTAGAGCGAGTGCGTGTAGAGTGAGTATAAGATGACTGGTATATCTTACAATCATGTCTGCACATACCTTTACTTTCCTGTGTGTTCTTAATAGTCTTTAATGTAGTAATATTCACTTTCCATCCTAGAACACCTAGTTTGAGACCTGGCCCTCGGCTAGAAAATCCCTAGGATTATACTAACTCTTTTTGGTTATCCTAGGTAATTTACACATGTTACTGTCTATGATAATTGTACTTATGTGCACTTGTACTTAAATAAACTTACTAAATAAGAGCAGTTATTAGATACAGACATAGAGGACCTGGCAAGTAATTTGTGGTATAGTGACATAGTAAAATTTTGAAAAGGCAGAAAATGAGACCTAAACAAAAAAGCATAAATAAGAAAGGTGCAGTTATTCTTGTTGCTGCAGATAATAACTTAATTCAGATTAATAGGCCTGAAGGGTTAATAACCCAGAATAATGTAAGAAAGTAAAGCAGTGTGATTTGCTTCCATTGGGGGTTCTTTTCAAGTCCTCCCCCAGGATGTCACTCACTACAGCTGACTAACACAAGGAATGCCAGTGATTATAAACATTACCAAGTAATTGATCAGTGAAAAGTCTGACAGTTTCCTACAAGCAAAGTGTTCCCCCATATAAGAATCATAAATTGATAATGGATAACTTGTGGTTATATTTTAACAATTCAGTGAACATTCTCAACTCTCAGATGTTGATGGCTTGAAAAGTGTGACTTTGCCAGACACTCTTTAGTACCTATTTACTGCTAGGTAACACAGGCAGTCTATATTACATTCAAGCACAATCTGGTACAGTATTAGTAGGTATTATGTTTTGGGATCTAAATTATTATGATATCAGTATGACCAAGTAAGATTCAAGAGCATAAAATTTGTACAGTGGTACCTCGAGTTTCGTACTTAATCCATTCCAGGAGCTAGTACTGAAGTTGAAATCTACTAAAGTTGAAGCAATATTTCCCATAAGAAATAATGTAAATCCAATTAATTCATTCCAGACACGCAAAAATATTAAAAAATACATTTTATAGATTATAGTTTTACATACACACAACAAACATAAATAGTACTTAAATTAGTTATAGAAAAATATACATTTAAATAAATTTAAAATAACATTTTTATTTACCTTTATTGAAGACTGTTGATGGCATCTGGAAAATAGGGAGGAGTGAGGGAAGGCTTAATGTTTGGAAGGGGAATCCCCTTCCATAAAGACTTTAGGTAATGAGCCCTTATCTGGGGTTACTTCCCTTCATTCTTTTAATGCCACTAGGACCAGCTTGAGTCACTAGACCCCTGTCTCAGAAAATAACTGTCCACAGTCCTCTGTCTCTGGTGCCTCTTTAAGATTTCCCTAAAATGGGACATGGTTCTGTCACTGAACTTGTTGCAGAGATGGCTTGTTTCAGCTTGATCAGGGTGATACTTTTCAGCAAATACCTGCACACTATTCCACATTGCACAAATCTCTTTAATCTGTGAAGAAGGCAGCTCATCCACTCATACTTTCTCCTCTGAAGCAAGTTCCTGGCTGTGGTCTGATACTGTTCTAGATGAAGCTCTTGCAGCTCTTCAGTGGTTAGGTCTTTCCTGTGGTTGTCCACCAACTCTTCCACATCCTTGCCACTCACCTCCAACCCTCTGTTTATTGTCAATCCAAACCAGCAACAACAACTCAACCTCTTCGACTATTTTTGGTTAGCATATCAATACCTTTCGCAACATCAGCTTCCTTGATTTCTTTTCTCTTCGTCAGGATGGAAGCGATTGTTGATTTGCTTTTGCCATATATCCTGGCAAACTCCACAAGTTGCACACCACTCATATTTTTGTAGTATCTCCTTCACTTCTGTGGTGTTTCTCACTTTCTTTACCACAGGGGTGCCACTAGGAAGTTTCTTTGGGCCCATGGTAGTTTATTTCACAGTCGTCTGCACGGGGGACCGGGCAGGCATGGGCAGGCAGACATGTCTGGTACACGGTACTAAACATGGGGCACAGTACGAAACTCTGTACAAAATTGAGCCGAAAAAACGATCTGAACTTGAAGTGTACAATACTCAGGGCACATGAAACTTGGGTTCCACTGTAATAAAGTTGGTAGAATTACCGACAATATGTAAAGTAAAAGGACACAAGTGCAACTAATGTGACATTTTATTGTGGCAGCGTTTCGCTCTCCAGGAGCTTTATCAAGGCTCAGTGAGGTGCAATACTAGTGAGGTACCATTTCGATGTTCACTAGTGGTAGTAGTAGTAGTAGTAGTAGTAGTAGTAGTGACAAAAATAATACAATATGGTAGAGCAATTAATTCGTACATGAGTAAAAGGATATAAAAGCTATTACTTGGGTAACATAAAAATAGATTGGACAAATATATAGACTGTAAAGAGGCAGGTTGTTTCAGTGTTCACTCTCTGTAATGTGCTTTGTGTAGTATAACAGGAGAGACTATGTAATGGCAGGGTTTACTGTTTTCAGGAGGATTCTTGCTAAGACTTCGGAGATGGTGAAGCTGCCGTTGTTTTGTTTAATTGTATTCGAAACAGCGATCAGTGCTGATTCGAGGCACTTGCGTCTGCGGAAATTAGTTTCTTTGATCACTAATTGGGCGTCTCTGAATTTCATGAGATGATTGGTGGAATTTCGGTGTTGTACACAGGCGTTGTTCAAGTTATCGTTCCTACATGCGTAAATGTGTTCATTGAGGTGGGTGTCGAGGTTTCTTGCTGTTTCACCTTTTATATCCTTTTACTCGTGTACGAATTAATTGCTCTACCATATTGTATTATTTTTGTCACTACTACTACTACTACCACTAGTGAACATCGAAATGGTACCTCACTAGTATTGCACCTCACTCTGAGCCTTTATATACCCTCTGTGTCTATGTATTGTTTGTAATGGCTTGATAAAGCTCCTGGAGAGCGAAACGTTGCCACAATAAAATGTCACATTAGTTGCACTTGGTTCCACTGTATATGAAATGTGTGTGTGTATGTAGCTAATGATTCGAACTAAAATATCAATTTTATATACAGTGTAGCCGAAGTTGGCATGGTGCCTGCTAATAGAGGGACTAGTACCAAATTTGCAAATGAAAATCACTCATGAAAGCAAAAGACTCAGCAAATGATGAAACATCCTCCCAGTGAAAAGCTGGGGCGCCACTAGCACGATAAGAGACAACACAGTAAGTGTCTGGGGCCCAAGATTGTTCAACTTCCTTCTAGCATACATAAGGGGGATTACCAATAGACCCCTGGCTGTCTTCAAGAAGACTTTGGACAGGCACCTAAAGCCAATACCTGACCAGCTGGGCTGTGGTTCATACGTCAGTTTATATGCTGCCAACAATAACAGCCTGCTCAATCGGGTGCTTATCTACCATGAGGCCTGGTCACAGGCCGGGCCGCAGGGGCAGTGACCCCCAAAACCCTCTCCAGGTATACTCCAGGCATACTTAACAAGATCAATTTAGGTAGATGATGATAATCATTTTTTAGGAAGGACATGACAATTTTTATAATTGGTATTTGTAAAAAACTGTCACTATTTTTAATAAGATCATTGCTTGTATCATATACAGTGGA